GTCCCTTGGCTCCGTTCAAGTGTACGATCGCACACCATTCTCGCCCGCCGGCTATGGCTCTTCGTATCCGGATTACATGCGAGTTGGCGAGCTTGGAGGAATGGGCATGAGTGGGGATAACAAGCAACGAAAGCGAAGAGGCAACCTACCCAAGGAGACCACTGACAAGCTACGTGCGTGGTTTGTTGCGCACCTAAACCACCCATACCCAACAGAAGATGAGAAGCAAAAGCTAATGCAGCAAACTGGCCTGCAAATGAGTAAGTCCAACGACCCGATTTTGTCTGAGCTGCTTGGCGTAATTTGAGCAGTTCCCGAATTCTCTCTCCATCGGAAAGGGCTAACTTTGGCTTCACTCCAGACCAAATATCCAACTGGTTCATCAACGCCCGCCGCCGTCAACTCCCCAACATGATCAGCAACGCCCGCGCAGAAGCAAACGCCATGACGGCTCGCAGTGCAGACGGCAAGGTTCTTTCATCCACGGAGCGAGGTGATTACGACATGGATGGGAAGCGCGATAGCCCTCTAAGCGATGGCGAGGGAAGCGCGTTTGACGACGATATCGAGAGCCTCAAGCACCGCCACACGGCCAACATGAGTCGTGGCAGCGTCTGACTTGATGGGCCAGTCACCTCTTTATCGACTGCTGCCGTCTGATTCATGTCGCGTCCGAGCTTGACCGCACCACACACCCTACCCATGGCTGACGGCGCCAATTATTTTCTCCCAGGCTGACCACCATTTTTTATGCCTTGTATTTTTTACCAAAATCGAGATGGCCTGCAATATGTACTCTTACGAGTTTGGCTTGTGCTGCTTTTGTATATCTATGGATGTTTTCTTGGTCGGGATGGATTTCTCTGCTGGTTTTGCAAGATAGAGGTCCACTAGGAGTTTGTTTATTTGCTGAAGGATAAGCATGGTATTCTGCCAGCGGCCCATTGGAGCCGGGCAGAAGGGGGTTGACGCCGGGTTCACGGAAGGACACAAGCACACACTCACACATGGCGGCGTTGGCGTGCTACATAGGTCAGTAGTATGATCCCGAGTCCGTTTGGGCGGGAATATGCGAAAAGAGAGGGCCTCGAAAGTTTTTACTGTATTTTACATTGCAAAGTACGGAATAGTGTTAGGTAGTGAGCTGGTATGCCCGCCAAGGATGGGACAGGACGAAGGAGAGAATACACTAAAAACGTTCACATACGATAATTAAAATTACAGCTCGAATCTTGTGACTCTGTCAAGGCGTTCGGATGATTACATGCAGCGGCTAGGCCGCGAGGGGTGGTCTGGTAGAGACCATGGAATGGCAACAGAATGGAAAACGGCAGGCGAGGCTGGTTGGTCAAGATTCTGTTGTCTCCCACCATCTAAGACCCCACGATCAGCCAATTCCGTTGACTTTGATGTAAGTCGTGATATCGTCCCACCACATCTAGGCAAACAGCGTCTCGGCGGGCTGTCTCAGGCCGAGTGCTGAGTGGCTGGATGGGTTGGGTGATGTAAACAAGTGGGCGGGAGAGCGGTTTCTTACTAACCTACCCTTGGGATGAGGGCACTAGGTAATCGACGTAGGCAAGGGGAGACCAAAGGGGCATGGTTTGTTGGACCTCGGGGGCAGGTGGGACAGCGAGGAAATGTGTGAGGAGTTGGGTTGAGGCCCGGGTATCGAGACATGCACTGCATACAGCTCGCATATAAAGAGTGTGTATACAGGAAGGCTGATGAAGATTGGTGGGTGTGGGAAGGGGGGGGGGGGAAGGGGGGTTGATTGGTGCGGCTTTTGCCTTTTGGCAATAACATGTTCGCGGTCTTTTTTTGGTTGGAGACGCGTGGAGGTGGAGGATATGGGCTGGCTGGCGTTTCTCTGCCTGGATTCCATTCTGGTCCGTTTTCCTTTTCCCTCCCCATCTCTCTCCTCTGGGGGGGGGGGGGGGGCGTGACGCAGCGTGTCTTCAGGGGTGGCCCCAGAACCGTGCATATTGACTTTCCGAAACCACCTTCCCCCATTAGGACTGAACGAGGGCCAGCTAAGGCGGTCCTCGCTGGCGTCCTCCTCACCCTTTGCACCGCAGAATGGCAGACAGGCCTGTAGTACCTAGCCCAGCGAGCAGCGGTGGCGGATTCGGCTCTCAGGTAGGCTCTCAGGTGGGTGAGGTACCCACCTGCCCAGAAGAAACGGGGAGGCAGAGATAGATACTTGAAGATGCAGGCACCAAAAAATGAACTTGTCTTTCGCGTCGTACACTGACCCCCCCCCCCTCGTCCGCGGTCCACCGAGATACATGACGGGACGGGGAGGGGAGGCGGTCGACTCAAATGCACAACGATAAAGAACTCGCGACACGGGATATATTGGAATCCATTACACTGAACAAGAGCGGTCAAGATGCCTCGGTCGCGCCCCTTACCCAAACTCAGAAAGAAGGAAGAAAATCAAGCGGCGCGCCCGTTCCCGTGTTCCCGCTGCCCACCTCACATTCCTCACGTTATCTTGCCCCTACCGTGCTGTCCACCCATGCTGGCATTCATCCACAGGATCAACTTGTGGGAGGGGTTAAGATGAAACAGCCGGTCAGGGCCATCATCTATCTGAAGGAAACTGTTGTTCTGTCCTGCTTTCCCGCTCTGTCCGTGCTGTTAGTTGGAAGTCGTGATGTCTTGCAAATACTGTCTTGTGGGACGGCTGATCAAGGCTGTCAGCCGTTGTGAGCTCAGGGGTGGGGGGGGGGGGGGGGGGGGGGGGGAAGGCAACAATACGTTTGGGCTGTAATCCGGAAACTCCCGGACATGTTGTAATACCTCCTCCCCCTATGCGGCGTAAACACTGAACTTCACATGTCTTTTCAATATCTTTGGCTAGAAGGACCGAATATTCACCAAACTATCGCAAAAAGATATATCAAACCAGGAACGCCTCGATGGTTGGCAGCACACCCGCAGAGGTCGATGGATCATCCCGGGATCAATGGGTGCGGTGAGCCCAAATCAGGACACAGGGATGGGAGATCTGTCCGACCAGATCGGTGGGTGACAGCAGCAGCAGCAGCAGACGCATGAGCAGCAGCCAGCAGAACCAAGAGCGAGGCATGAGCGAGTGAGGGGAGGGGGCGAGAGAGGGAGAGAAAGCATGCCGTACAGACTCAAGACATGCAGACGCTCCATATATCCGCCCGCGCGTCGTGGATGGGGAGAATGTCGGTATGTGTTGGCCGCGGTGGGACAGAGCTGCAAGATCTCATGCAGAGCAAATAAAAAAGAAAGAAAGGGCAAGGCCCAAAAGATTAAAGAGAACTGGACACGCGTGTCTTACCTTTTGTGGCGGGACAACATGCTCTTTCTCTCTCACGACAGCCAAGCGGTACCTAGGCAGGTAGGCAAGATGTGAGTGAAGCGCATACCAGCGTAGCGGGAAGTTGTCGGTGATCTGAGACATCGGGGGTGAGATTCCCATCTCCGCGCGAGGAAGAAAAAAAGGGGCAGGGAGGGCGGGTCTGCGTGACATTTGGAGGTGAGGCTAAGAAGATTGAGGCTTGCTTCATCAACGTCCCTCCCCGCAATGGAGAAACCTGGATGTAGAGCTCGGGGGGCTCGGGGCCGTAGCTGCCATGCAAACCGGCGGCTACTAGGCATGCCTGCTACCTTACTTGGCTCAGCCTTGTGATACCGGCTGCTTCCGACTTCGACACTCTAATGACTTGTGTTCACTCGATCTGTGCAAAATCAGAACAGCGAGACAACTCAAGACACGTCACCTTGAGAAGGAAAGACATCCAACACTCACACGGTTCGCCTGAGAAACCGATGCCCTCTCGGCTCACTGCCTGCCCCACTGAGGGCGCCATTGTAGCCGCGCCACGTACCAGGCTTTGCGGGCTTCGATAGTCGGCTGCAGACTGGGCGGTTTTCTTGACTAAGAAACCGTTGAAAACACTCTCAGGCGAAGCCAGGCAGGTAGCGTGGAGTAGGGAATGTGCCGAGGCTCGGCCCTGGCAGAGAGTCATGAATCTTCTCTGATACCTGCCACCGCGACAGCCGCTGGCAAGCTCCCATACGTGATCTCAATCCTTCCGACGTCGACGAAATGCGGACATGGCGTCACAGTCAGGGCAAGAAGCTTGAACCCTTCTCCGCTTCGCCATCACGTCACTGCTGACATATGTCTCCAGACGGGTGCTTGTGGCGTCCTTGACAGGCCCGGACGCTACCGCTAGCTGCTGCCAACTCTGCTCACTTGCGCTTGACGTCTGGCCGGCCAGGCACGCACCCCCCTCTGCTCGAATCTGAGCTCACCCCCGACACCGCTGCCCTCTGACTAGTCAGAAGCCGCTCAGCTAGCCTCACTTTCGCCCCGCAAGTTGCCTCTTGACAGATCCCCCCGGCACACTGTGAGAATAGCCAGGATGGGTGTACATGATGGAATAGGGAGTATGCTTCATGTTCTCACATGTCAAGCTGTCCGTGTCTAGACACTGGTCGGGTGGGTAGAACGGTAGTTCAGTGGCTGACCATTTGGGACCACGTATTGTGAATGCAGCTTTTGGCCCTCTCTTGAAGCGAAAGCAATCTCAAACGGCGTTGCTCTGGTCTCTTGGATTGATACCAAGTCTCTTCTCTTAAGAGTACCGCTGAATGCGAACGGCGTCATGGCCAGCTTGAGACTTGAAATCCAATCAGCGAGCCACTACACCACAAAAAACACCGAAAAAGCCGGATAATATGCGGAAATCAGAGGAAACCCAAGCGATTCTCTCGGCCATTGGGAGTGGCTTTGGAGCCCCTTTGCCTGTAGATGGGTGGTTGAGGAAGTTGCGGTTGGGCGGGTGAACCTAGCCCAGTCAATATGTGGAGTGACTCAGGGGCAAAGACACCCCGAGCAGCGCTAAGCTCCGCCGCAACCGTCGGCAAGCGGAGCATCTCGATGCGGAGATCCTTCGTCACCCAGCAGAGCCAACGGGCTACCTAGCCAAGTCTTTGCCGCCGACTTTCAACAATCGTCCGGTATAGTGTAGGGGTTAACATATCTCGCTTTCACCGAGAAGCCCCGGGTTCGATTCCCGGTACCGGAAGGACAGTTCGGATGTTATTTTTGGTCTTCTGATCATTTTGCATCGGGAATCGCGATGGCCAAGTCAATGACCACCATGTATTGTGTTTTTGCTGCGATATTTTGCAGCCGCCATGGCTCGCATCGCCGATGAACGACCTAGCGATAAGAATTCCGAGCTTTTGTTCGTCTCTGAATCGCTCGATGTCGAAAACACACCGTATTGGTCGAGCGCTTGGTGGACTGCATGTCAACCTCAGACGCCCGAGAAAGGGGAGCGAGAGTTGACTTCGGTTGGGTTTCTTCAGAATAGCTGATCTCTGGGGCCCCAAAGGTGAGGCACATGGGCGATGCGTCGGCGGGACCGGAAAACGGAATCGACTTCCACCGTTGAGGTCTTTTGGTTCGTCATCATCTGTATATTCGGGGATGGGTAAATTCAACTTGCCTGGGGTCAAACAACCAAAGCGCAGCTTGGTTTTAGACGCTTACCACAGGCACATGGCCGCAGATGGGATGTTCTCAGTATGGAAGACAACCAGGTTGCTTTCATGGCCAGACTTGTTGTGGAGAGCTGATTCGGTGGTCGACAGAATTCGATAGCTGCAATTGGAATCTATGTATGAACCGTGTGAAGGGCACAGAAAACAAAACCGAAATAAACCAGAGAACAAAATATGTGACACGCGCTGAAGTCTTCCACCCGAAAGCTGCAGCACAATTCCGTTGTGAAAGGCACGCCCACCCAGGAGGCAACCCAACTTCTACGTCAAAACATGAAAGGTGCCCAGCGCTAAGCCGCAGCCGAAAACGGTGTCGAAATGGAAGAGATCCGTGTATTAGTATCAAATAGCAATGTGCTCCCCGGCCAAAAGTTCAAGATCCTGAGTTCTGGTGTGTGAATATAACTCATAAACCCAAGAAAAGTGCAAAAGTGCCACACAATATCATTTCCAGCAATTTTCAAGCTCGACCTCTAGTCCTCGAATCCGCGCCGAACATCATGTCCAATCCCTCCGTGATGCAGCTCATTCGAAGCTCAGCACAGCCCTGTACCTCACTTTGTTGCTCTCAAAGTTCTTGAACACGGTCTCGATAGTCTCGGCACCCTCGAATTTGTATAGCTGGGTGGCGGGCTGGACGCTGTGACGTGCTGCGAAGTCGAGCATCTCGTCATGTTGAGCCTTGGATGCAACCAAGATGGAATGAACATGGTAGCTGTCCCAGAACAGCCTATCCGCTCTATTTTCCCGTATCAGCATCATTCCCCCAAGGCCCTTGGACGTTGCCGGAAGGAGTGAGAACTTACGGAAGACTCAGAGGTCCTTGAGTAGGAGCAGCCAGGGGGACAATGGTCCCGTTCCTTGCCAAGATCTTGGTGTTGAGCATCCTATCACATCTGTCAGCACCCACTTCCCACCCATACCATCAACCAGCAAAGACTCACTTGTTCCAATCGGGATACTTTGACCCAGCAATCACCAGCACATCCACCGGTGCCCCGACCTTCTCGGGCTCGGCCAAAAGCACAAACTCGGACGCCCCGAATCCCAATGCCTCCCCCTCCTTATCCTTGCTGGTACTGAACACCACCACCTCCGCCCCCATCTTGGCCGCGAACTGAATAGCCAGGTGGCCCAAACCGCCAATCCCCACAATCCCAACCCGATCCCTCGGCTTCACCGTCTCCACGAGCGCCGAGTACACCGTCGCGCCCGCACACTGCAGGGGCGCCGCGTGCTCGCTCGACATGCCGTCGGGGATCCGGTGGACGAAGCCCTCCTTGCCGACATAGTACGCGCCAAAAGTGCCGTTGCTAAAGTCGCCGAAGCCGTACACGGTGCGCTCGAGGCAGTGGATGTCGTGGCCGGTCAGACACTGCCGGCAGTGCCCGCAGCTGTCGCGGTGGAAACCGCCGCCGACGCGCTCGCCAGGGTTCAGGGTCGTGACGGCGGAACCGACGGCCTCGATGACGCCGACGCCTTCGTGGCCGAGGGCAAGCGGGTAGTTGTGTTTGAAGAGCTCGTAGTCGGTGTAGCACACGCCCGAGTGCGTGACGCGGACCAGGACATCCTGGGGCCCGAGGACGGGGATGGTGGTTGTGTCTTTGGTGAGTTTTCCTTCGAGGGTGCGGATGATGGAGTACTCCTTGCCGGTGAGAGTGGAAGCCATGCTTTCGGTTTATGGGGAAGGATTGATGGAGGTGTCTGTGTATAGGATCTGTGATATTGTTCCGTGTGTGGAATTCTGGATGCTACTGGTCTTGCAGCAGGCGGGCCGAAGCCGTCTTTATACCCCTTTTCTGCTGAGGCCGTTTCCTCTGGTATGTTGCATTTTGTCAACATCATGAGATGGGTCAACCTCGACACGGGGCACAACTGCCTCGGAGTACTATTGGGGAGTGATTTCAAATCTTGCTGTTATCAGAACGTGTATGAGTCGGGAAGAGGTACAAGGGGCAAGGGCTTCAGTAGGAAATACGGAATATCTAGCGTCGCCGACTGCGGCATCCCGAAGCGAGTGGTGCTTAGACGTGGTTGATTCATGCGCCATGACGATAGATGGGATCAAAAAATGCGAGACCAGTGTCGAGGTTACCCAGTTGGTTGGGGCGCCGCGGTTACGGGAGACCGAAGAAGGAATTGCTGCAACGGGGGACCGGCGGTTGTCATGAAAGATTACTGATCGCCGTGAAGATACAACTTACTAATATCATGATGCCTTTTACGGCAACCGACGTCATGAAAATTGATTAATGAACAAGGATATATGCTGAAAGTTTGAGATAAGAGAGGAGCAAGAAAATGCGAAAGGGAAGCTCGTGGCGTTCAGAGCTGCCATCTGCCCCAAGCAACTACCGAGGTTCATTCGGGCTGGGACGATGTTGCTGAGGAAGGGGCTCCGAATCGCCGTCGCGAGTCCATATTCATCTTAAGCTGTGGACTACCACCCAAAAAGCTTTCGAGTTCTATTTACTTTGAAGAAGTATTCATTTTGATGTATTTGAAATAGTGGGAAGTTCTTACAGTTGGTGATGCTCGTTGCGACTGGCTGGATGGATCAGGGGACAAGTCAGACGTTCAGTTCACCGCGGTGAAGCGGGTAAGAGTGGGCCTTGAGGCCAATCGCCCCGCAACGTACGTGGGGGCAGGGATCGACGGCTTTATTTTATTTTTTCTTGCTCCGACGATAACCTCACGATAAGAAATTTATACCAGCGATTTCGACGGAATCAACATCACCATCAACCGCACAACACCACCTCCATCTACACCCCCCCCTTACCGCCCACCATGCGCCCTCTTACAGAACCCGAGACAAAAGTCGTCTTCGATAAGCTCGCCAACTATGCGACCGATCTCAAGACCCTAATCACCCCTCTCGACGATGGCGACCGCTACGTCTTCCGCCTCAACCACTCGCGCGTTCGTCGCCAATTGGCCCTCCAATCCACCCCCCACACACCCGGTAACTAACCCGGGCCGCAGGTCTACTATGTCCGCCTTTCTATCGCCAACATGGCCACGAGCATCAGCCGCGACGCCCTCCTGAGTCTGGGCACCTGCCTCGGCAAGCTCACAAAGACGGGCAAGTTCCGGCTGCACATCACCGCGCGTACGACAATCCACCTTCCCCCCTTACCCACACCCCTTGCTTTCCGGTCTAACCAACTCACAAAAAAAAACACAGTCCCCATCCTCGCCGAGCACGCCCGCCATAAGGTATGGGTCAAGGAGAACGGCGCACAACCCTTCCTGTACGGGTCCAACGGTACGGTCCCCCCCTCCCTCCTTCCCCCTCCCCTAGCTACCACTATCTAACGCTCCCCCCCCAAAAAAACAGTCGTCAAGGCCCACGTAGGCCGCTGGTCTGAGGACTGCCCCGAGCACTCGGGCTGTGTAGTCTACAGCATGGCCGACGTGCCGCTCGGTTTCGGCGTCACGGCGCGCAGCACGGCCGAGGCGAGGCGGCTGGACCCGACGGGCATTGTCGTCTTCCGGCAAGCCGACTGCGGCGAGTACCTCCGCGACGAGGACACGCTGTTTGCCGGTTAGGCCAGAGGGCATGTCGATTTGCAATATCAACGAAATTAAAAACAGCATCATTGGATGGGGCGTCTTGGCGTTGAGGAGGAAAAACGAGATATGAGGGGGCCTTAGATCAGTAGGCAGGTGCTGGCTTTTCATGTCATGGCGGCTTATATTCTGTTCTTTTATACCACTTTGGGGGAAACATAAGAGCCAGACCGTGGGGATGCAAAGATACCAAGGAACTTGCAGCAGCAGCATTATTCTATTCGCCAACACAAAACGGCCCTTTGTAACCCTCTTTCTATGTACCGCCTCCCCCTATCAACCGTAGAAACAACAATCATCCACGCCTATTCCATTCCATCCCTGACAGGTCAGACTTCAAAACCCTGCCTCCCCAGCCTCGCCCTCATACCCTCCGATGCCCACGCCATCAAACGTAACCACGTCCCGGCTGGGCGTAGCGGGCCTGCTCTCTCTGCTAAAGAGACTGATCGACTCCCGCTGCGAGACGTACTCGCTGTCCGCATACCCCAACAACCCCTCAATCTCGACGCTCTGCCGGCCCTTGATGCGCGCGATCTCGCCCGACGCATAGTTGGTCAGCGCCCGGCCGACCTCGACGGCCGCGCCCTCCCACAGCTTCCCCTCGGCGTTGGCCGCCGCCAGCTTCTTGTCGACGACGCACAGCCGCACCGCCTCCTGCTGGGCAAACACGCCCTCGACGTCGACCACGCCGACAGGCAGGAGCCCGGCTTTGCCCAGCAGCGCCTTATACGCGCCCGCGTCGATGTACAGCGTCCCGTGCGGACGCAGGCCGTGGAGGATCCAGAAGTAGCGGTCGCGGACGGGGTGCGGGGAGGGGAGGAAGCGGGTGTGCAGCGGGATGTTGGCGCGGCCCGGGGTGGTGAGGGAGGTGGTGGAGGCGGCGAGGTCTTCTTCGGCCGGGTGGTCCTTGGTGTTGGCCTGGGTAGTGGTCACGAGGGAGGCG